TAGGTAGGTAGGTAGGCAGGCAGGCAGGTATGTAGGTAGGTAGGTAGGTAGGTAGGTATGTTTGCCATTGTAAACCAAATTGCCCTTCTGGGATCAATAAAAGTGTAATTAATCAATGTATTTATCATTTATTGTTTCCACAGTGAAGCCTCATTTTGCCACCCTCTGGGGTTGCTGCTCTCTATTAGTGGTCTGTGAGGAGCTAGAATAAGATCTCCCAGTTGTCATAATGTATAAATGTTATACTAAACACTTTTGTACCACTTTTGATCACCATCTATTTGAAAATAAAAGCTGTGGGTGGTTGTAGGGTGCTCTCGTGTGGTTTGCTTCTTCTTTTCTATCAAACACCTATTGTCCTGATCTCTCCTTCTTCTTCTGCCCTTCTAATCTTCGACACTTATATGACCTATTGTGTTGCAACCCGTGAAACTCTAATTAAAACTAAAAACTAAACAATAGCTGATTTTTTTTTAAATTGTAAGGAACAACATGCATGCATGCAAACTGTAGCTTTATCAATGCATGCATAATATATGAAAAGTCATAGTCACAAACTGGAAATTAGGAGGGTGTCAACTTTAAAAGTTTGTGGACTCATAATTTCATATTTGTTTGACTGGTGGTTTATTGTAAAGGATTGTTGAATATGAAATCTAACTACAATAATCAACCAACAGTTGAACAGAAATACAAGTGTATGAGTCAACAAACGTAAAAAATTGATACCCTCACGATTTTCAGTTTGTGACTATTCCCGTTTTTCCCATGAACTCCTCATACGTCATGTACATACTGTAGTAAGGTACGTCAAAGCATGAAGGAATATTCCAGACATTCTGCAATGTAGGTTTTGGCTATTTGATAATGAGCGTATAACAGCATATGATAATTGAAATTTCATCGTAAAGAATTTTTTTTTCCATTAAAAGAAACTATGAGTAACAAATACACATCCTAGTACACACCCCCTCCCCCCAATGTATACATGCACACAGATGCACGCTCACACTCACGAACGCAAACACGCACGCACATACACACACACATACAAACACACACACACATACACACATATAGTCAGGGGCGGTTCATTAACTGGGCGAGCCAAGCAGAGCTGGTCACTTTTTATCGGCTGGACAGTGGACAAAAGATATCTTGCAGCTAATAATTTTCATTCAGTTAAAAGTAAATCTTAATGTCAACATTCAAAGAGCACTTTGCCAAGTTAATGTTGAACACGCCCAAAAATGATGACAGGAGTTCACAGATAAGTTGTTGCACTCCAGATTCTCTTCCCTTCATCACTGTTATAATTAACAATGGCTTGCAAAGGGGAGGAGGTGGGGAGGGAGGTCGATGGGAATGACAGCCAGTCAGTCCTACAAACCTCGAGCCACCCCGGCATATAATATACTCACACATGCATGTGTACACACACAGCCCCACACACACACACACACGCACAGGGGGCTCTCATGGCCAAGAGGTTAAGGTGTTTGCCTCTCATTCAATGGTCCCAGGTTCGAATCCGGATAGCGACGGAAAATTTTCTGCTCTAAAATGTTCTCCTTTCACATCCTTTCCTGCTTTCTAATAATGTTCTGTCATCTGCTTTCATCTCTACTTTCTGCCCTCACCCCCTCACCTCCTTTGCCCTCACCCCCACACCTCCTTCGCCCCCTCCTCTGGGCTCCTGACTCTTTCTGCAGCCTTTCTACTGCTTCTCCTTGGCTCCATCTTACTACTGTCTTTCAGCCACACCCTTGATCTTATGATAGGTAAGATCTACACCTAGCCTTCTCGGACAAGGGCGAAAAACCCCAGAGGTCCCGTGTGCAAGTTGCGCCTCTTAAAGATCCTTTGGTGGTCCAAAATCAATTATAAGAGTAGGCTTCGGCTGCCATCCATGCAAATTCAAAATCACCTACCAACTAAAAAATATTTGGTGTGTCCCACGTGCTCATATGACCTTATGCAGTTGCCAGTGCCGTAAAACACTTACCAACCCC